CCCCAAAACCCCAAAACCCCAAAACCCCAAAACCCCAAAACCCCAAAACCCCAGTATATATAATAAGATTGAGTGCGTTTATTAATTATATTTAGTCACAAAAGCATAAAACCATAAAATGGAAGCATCATATGAGAAAAGTATGTCACTATGCCAGAATCATGGTTCTAACAAATTAATCATGTGTTTATTGGGATAAAACTACATTTGAGGATCTAAGAAGGCTATAGAAGAGCTTTAACAGTGAAAATCAACTTTTCACAGTTAAGGATCCTAATTCTCATTGGCTTATTAGGGCTTCACAGTTTAAAAAATTAGAAATTTCCATTCTCTAGTTAGCACTTGGATCATTGAATGTTAATCAACTCTTCATAGACCCAGTTGTTCTTGAGAAAGAAGGACTTGCTGTCGAGTGTAAGTGGGCCAGAGGTGAAGGAATCACAAAAGAGTGTCCCCATATATATGAAAAGTAGGTAACCATTTAACACGATTTTACTTCCCTATCACGGATCTTTGCCAAATCTTCATAGTAAAACAATCTACTGTCACTTAATTAAACTAGCTCGTGATGGTAGAAGCATAAGATTTTATGCCATTAGCCTAAGGTGTATCTTGAATAAGCTACTGCACATATGTGGCAGATATTCATTCCCGATTCTTCACTGACAACCAACACAACATTTCATACTAATAACTTTCTATAGGAGAGAGAAGAAGTTGATCTGTGATGATGTTACCGACATTGTTGGAAACACTCCAATGGTCAGAATCAACAGTATTACCCAATCAGAAGGAATCAAATGTGAAATAGGTAACCCGCACTTCCTTCCAGAATCAGAACTGTTTAATTTGTAGTAGAATTTGCCAAAGGAATTTTAAAATTTCTGTGAAACAGGCTTTCTTTTTTGTCATGGTTCTAAGCTCACAATATCTATATAGTTGCAAAATGCGAATTCTTGAACCCAGGAGGTTCAGTTAAAGACAGGATTGGTAGAAGAATGCTACTCGATGCTGAGAAAAGTGGTAAAATTAAGAAAGGAGATATCCTAGTTGAGCCAACGAGCGGAAACACAGGTATTGGTTTATCCATGTGTGCTGCTGCCAGAGGATACAAAATGATCATTACAATGCCAGAGAAGATGTCTGCTGAGAAAGAGAATACCTTGAGAGGACTTGGAGCTGAGGTTGTCAGAACTCCAACTGAGTTGCCAACAGAGCATATTGACTCTCACATGGGACTTGCTTACAAGTTTACACAGGATCTTGAGAATTGCCACATGCTTGACCAATATTCAAACCCATCAAACCCAATGTCTCACTACGACGGCACTGCACAAGAGATCTGGGATCAATGTGAAGGCAAGATTGATACTATCGTCCTTGGCGTCGGTACTGGAGGAACTGTCACAGGAATTGCTAGATTCTTCAAAGACAAGAACCCAGATATCAAAATTGTTGGAGTTGACCCTCATGGATCAATCCTCGCAGAGCCAGCCGAGCTTAATACTCATGAAGGTTCCTACCTCGTTGAAGGAGTTGGATATGATTTCATCCCAAGAGTACTTGATAGATGCCCAATTGATAAGTGGTATAAAAACAACGACAAGGACTCATTCCATTATGCTAGAAGATTAATGAAAGAAGAAGGACTCATGGTTGGAGGATCATGCGGAGGAGTCATGTGGGCTGCCATCGAAGAAGCCAAAAACATGGCTGAGGGACAAAGAATGGTAGTCATCTTACATGATTCCATTAGAAACTACATGACTAAGCACTTGTCAGATGACTGGATGTATCTTAACGGGTTCATTGAGGAAAAGAATGTGGTTGAAAATTACACTCCAAAGCTATGTCCAAACAGAGCTTGGGGACAAGAATTCACAGTTGCAGACTTATCATTGGCCAAATCTTCTACCATTTCACATACCTCAACCATCGGAGATGCTATCCAAGCATTGGGAGACAGCGAGCAGATCTTAGTACTAGGAGAAAATGGAGAAGTAGAAGGAATCTTCACATCTGACATGGCAATGGACAGAATTTATAAAGGAAAGATTACTAAGAGTGATTCAGTGACCAAATCTGTGACCAAGATCTACAGAAAGACATCAGAAGATATCCCACTCTCTGAGTTAGCAAGAATTTTCACCTTGACAAATTACGTTGTTGTAAACGGAGAGTCTCTTGTAACTCACAAGGACCTCTTGAAGTTCTTTGCTGAGAAGTCATAAAGCGCATATTGATTATTATATCAAAAATCATCATATGGGGTTTTGGGGTTTTGGGGTTTTGGGGTTTTGGGGTTTTGGGG